AATAATAATAATAATTATTATTATTATTATATTAAATTTACTATAATATATTGAAATTATATATACTTTTATTTATCTTTTTAAATATTAAACTTGTTGATTTATATAATAAAGTGAAATTTATAAGTTTGTTGAAAGATAAATTCATATTCTATTTACATACTTTATTATAATTTTTTTAAAAAGAAAATAAATTATTACTAATATTAAACTTTAAAATATTAAAAGAAAAACAATGTACGCATTTCTTTTCTACATTGTATTAAAAGAATAATATATATATATATATATATATAATAAAAGTTGTGAGAAAAAGAAAATCTTAAATATTACCTATGAAAAATTCCGTAGGTAATATTCCGTAGATAACTAAACATTCCCTATGAAAAAAATTTCATAAGTAACTAAAAATTACTTACGGAAAAAATTTCGTAGGTAACTAAAAATTACCTACGAAAAAAATTTCGTAGATAAATAAAAATTACCTACAAAAAAAATTTCATAGGTAATATTTCGTAGATAACTAAACATTACCTACGGAAAAAATTTCGTAGGTAACTAAAAATTACCTACGAAAAAAATTTCGTAAGTAATATTCCGTAGATAACTAATTTCGTAGGTAATATTCCGTAGATAACTAAACATTACCTACGGAAAAAATTTCGTAGGTAATTTCGTAGATAACTAAAAATTACCTACGGAAAAAATTTTGTAGATAATATTCCGTAGATAACTAAACATTACCTACGAAAAAAAATTCATAGGTAATATTCCATAGATAATGACAGTTTTCTTGTAGTGTTATGCTGATAGTCACTATGCTTGTTCCAACTTGAACATAGCCTCATTGCCCAAATTCTATTAAGAAGCCAAATCCCCTGATCCACAAGATGACTTATTTTCAATCTTTTATTTCTTTGACATCATCTCCTTGACTTTTATACTGTAGGTAGTTGTGTTCTACATCTCAAACATTGTTTGTGCCTATTGATGCACAAGCAACTCACCGTATTAACTCACTTCCTCTAAGTCCTCATACAAACTCTTCTACAAACATTTCTTATTATAGGATTCACCATTTAAACAGTAACACTATTGAAGCAAGTAAGATAGTTCTTTCGTGTTTTGCCCGGTTACTACTCAAAATCAAAGACATTCACTATGGATGGTGGCTTTTGCTTACTAGATGTAAATAAGGTGACAAACATCTTTGAAAATTCATCAAAAGAAGTTATTGATCTATCTTATAGGCCACTAAACCAGTGAAGAGTTGTCCCAGTCGAATTCCCAACAAACATCTTACATTTACTAGCATTGAAACCTCTAATGATCAATATTTGTGCTCAAAATGTTTTAAGATGGAATGTTGGTCTTGAGCCTCAATGTATGGGTCTACCTTCATTACCATAAAGTGCAATGAAATCGATTTAGCCTCAATCAATATTTTCCTATCTTTCATCATCTACTCTCCTCCTTGCCTGTTGATTTTCCTGTTGCAATATATTCATCAATGCCATGATTTGTGTACTACCCACCCCAAGTAAATTGAGTCAAGTACATCCCAAGCTCGGGCCTACAAAGCATCCTTGTCAAATTGCTATAAATGGTGGTCAAGGAGTAATTCCCATACCATATCTCCAACAATTCTTGAAAGCGTTAAAAAGCAACATATTAGGAACAATATTTTATTCCATTAAGAATCACAAAGATAGCATATGAAATCATCTTCTAAAATCATGCAATATTATCTTGAAGCCTAGAGATAAGATCAATCACTTGTATAAGGAGCATCAGGTATCTCTCTAACCTAATCTTTATTTTTAACTTAGTTTCTCTTCTAACTTGAGTGTCATAATGTCTTTGCAGGTGTCGCCACCGCCACAAATATTGGAGCAATTAGGATGTCATCCCCACAGTTGGATCACTTGTAGATTTTGGTAATTAAGAAAATTTGGCACCTACCATGAGGTTAAAGTAAACAATCCTCCAACCACATATGATTTCCACCAAAAACCAAACAATGAACAACAATATAGCAAGAACCTCCGCAACAAATGACAACCTCGACCTCATCCCAAAACAACATCTTTTTGTCTATGTTGCCAGCGCAACACTACTGGTAG